GGGCATGACTGCATTTCCCACAAATCCTCCCTAGAGGGCTGCGATAGAGATTCCCCACCACTGAACCCATTAGTGCAACTGTGAAGAGGTCAGGAAGATGCAAGATTGCATCCTGTCCGTTGTGCAAAACTTCAGCAAGCAAGTTATTGCTGGCCTTGTGGATGTTATCTTAGCCCTATAATGGGTAAACCATATTAGGAAGAGTTCCAGGACCAGTGGTTAGTGGAGTGTTTGCTGCTGTGAAAAAACTTTAAGAGAGTGTGATACTAAACAGCCCCCAGGATCAGCTAGTTTTCCCCGCTGACTACATACAATCATAGAATGGTTAGGGTTGGAAGGGAAGAACATCTAGTTCCAACCCACCTTCTTTTTTAGAAGGGGGAAAAACCAGCTTGCTTTCCTTCATCATCTCACCACCTCCACCCATCAGAATGCTTCCAAAATTAAGCACAAAGCAGAACACATGAATTTTCCCATCTACGGCTCAGATATAACCAGTGTCAGCCTGCACATCACAGCTTCTACTTAATCCTGGAATTTTCTTTGCATGCAGATGATTAGCTTATATACTAGCTGTCAAGAAATGTGTTTTACCTTCTATGTATACAGGGGTTTGGAGCATGCAATTTTGAATGATTTGCGGCTATACATACATAAGCAAGGAATTCACCCCTAAGCCACAGCAACATAGTACATAAATGCATAGGTAGTCTTAAAAGACCTGTTTCAGTCCCTGAACACAGATACAGCTCTTCCATTGCAATGTTTTTTCCTTTCTGCAAGCATACAGAGCTCATAAATGTTTTCAGATCTGCGCATTTACTCCCTTGCAGTCTGAAAATACAATAGCCTGTATAACCAAACATGAATATCAAAGCTTGTCAGACAGCCAGACAGCATCCACTCTTTGAGTAATGACTCATGTCTTATACTTTCCCTCCTTTCCTCATCATTACTTCAAAGTGAAGGGTAGAAAAACTTAACAACAGTCACAAATACTGGCATTCTCAATTAAAGGAGAGAAACATGAGAATGACAGTAAAATGGTATCTTTTTTTCCTTTTAGTATAAAGTAATTCTGTACTCTGTCTCCCAGTCAGCATCTCTGATCTCTCTTTCAGACTAAAAGCATGTAGAGAAACTCTCCATGAGTCTTGTGTCTACAACAAGCTCTGGCACACAGGGAGCTCCATGCAGGGGATGTGTTCTAGCATGCACAAATGCACACACACAAGCTGGACTTTTCCAGAGTAACATCCTGGTTATGGTTTTCATGAACAGCATATCTTGGCTTCACTGTCATCACCGGTAACAGCTCCAGACCAACGCCAAAAAAATACACCTTATCAAGTCCCAGTTCTGGTAGTCCCACTCTGACTCAGCCCATTGCCCTTTTACAGTCTCTGAAGTCTGTCAGGCAGGTACTGAATTTCTCATTAGGTTTTATATAAACATAATTTAAACAAAAAAGTCCCTTGACCACAGAATGTCCAGGACTGCCTTACTTCAGAAAGGCTACCCATTCTGTAGCAGGAGCCAGATTCACATATCCCAGATCTCTGTGCCTGGTGCTGGTGGGCTTTGGGACTCCAGAGATACGAACTCACTAAGAAACACAAGGCCCAAGGACGCCCATAGGTCCCGTAGTCTAGTAGCCTGAACTCCACTGAAGTTAAAACCATACCTCCAGTCACCAAGGACTTTCAAAGAATCAGGTAAATTGATGTCATTTCCAATTACAGATTATGGATTTTCCCTTGGAGGATGAGCAGATTCCCCTAGAAATACAGTAGAAAACCACCCAGGTTTTGGGCAATCCCACAACATTTTTTCTTTATTGTAATAGAGTAAGAGGAACCAGAAATGGGGAACACTTATGTCATTGTGTACAAGTATCAACACATCCAAAGAGACCTTTGAAACTGCATCAACAAAATGGTTTTTATATACCCACATTTTTAATCTGAAAGTATGTTTTCAAGGCAGTTACCCTAGTCATGCCCTCAAGAAATCCCTACTTGGCACTTCTGCTCCTTCCTGGAAGCCTAGGAGCTGGAAAAGTCCCTCTTTTGTAGGAAGTGAAGGATGAGGTCTTTTGTAATTTGAGATACTATCCTCTTTTTTTTTTTATGAGTGTTTTAGTATCTGCTAGCACTTTATGACTGTAATGCCCACTCAGTTCCCACTAAACTGAAACCAGTTACAAGAGACACAGAGAAAGATTACTGAACGCTATTTTCTTACTGATCAGCACAAAGTTATTTGGCTCAAGCATCTCTGTAAATATTTGTCCAAGACTAAGTAAATTTGCAGTGTACAATGGCCCTCCAACCTGTACTTCTATCAGGTGAGAAGGCTCATAGTCCAGCACTGGATTCCAACTGTGCTTCTGCAGAAACACAGAATGCTAGAGGCTGAGCTTATTAACATTGCTATCCTTCTCTTTGGATCTGTTCTTTTTCATTTTGTTCAGTGTTCCATTTCACAAACAAAAAGAAGATTAATTCTGAGATGGAATGAATGTAAGGTTATTCCTGGCTGTTGGGTAATGAAGAGAATTTGTGAAGTGCATTACAAAGGGCTAGGCTTTGGCATGGGGAAGCCAGAGGGAGAGGAGGGAATTGTATCCACCTCCCAAAGAGCATGCAGAGGAAGATCCAGATCCAGAACCATTTTCAGCCTCTTGAAGTGGAAGGCAATGTCTGCTTTGGCATGTGCAAAGAGGTTCAATGGACTCAGTTCACAGCAACGCTGGCAGCCTGCCACAGTATTCTGTTCATGTATGCCTGTGACATCCATGGACCCAGAGCTGTAATTACGGTCTCAGATGTCACAGTACTACTAGCCCAAGAGATCTTTATGGATCAAATACATACAATCTATAGGCACTGTATAGTTTCAGACACATCCAAGAAAACTCCCCACTCAAGAATAAGGACAGCAAGTCTGTAGCAGGTTTTTTGAGCTACTTATCAAAGCAGTACACTCCACTGGGTCTCACCACTAAAAGTCACTAAAAGGTCTGGACAGGGTGGATTGCAAGCACAGGGCTCAGACTCATACCACAGATACTATCAGAGGCATACTAATGAACTGGGAACCACGGTAAGTATTAGTGCTGCTTGTTTTCCTGTGAAGTGACTTTCTGCTTCTCACAGTTCCATTTTAAATTTAAGATGATAATAAGGAAAAGTACATACTTTCCTTCTCCACCAGAAGGGAAAGGCCAAATAACCACATGCACACTGTTTATTTATTTCTACAAAGCTTATGAAGCATCTAGAGAATATAGTGTAATCCAAGAACCTAGCTAGAGAGAAACAACTCCATATTGTTTGCTATTTATGTTATTAACTTTTGCTCCAACATATACCTCCACACACATAAAACCACCAAAATGTCACCATTTGTGGGAAATACCATGACTATCAGCAAGGAGCATGCAGGAGTTCAGCATGGGGAACAGAAACTATACCAGGTTGCCAAATGCTATTCCTACATGGAGTGTTCAGAGGTTTCCATGTCCTTGTATAAGCAGACAGCACTTTTGTATTAAATACCCCCACTGGACAGTAAGATACATAGGAGAAAAGGAGTCTGATTCTCATCGTACTGGCTTGGCTCCAGAATAGCTCTAGTTTATTTAGAAGTACCTCCCACTTCACCACAGCTTTAGGTACTCTGCAAACACATGCTTCTCTATCCATAATCTAAAGCATTACTTTTGGCATCGTAACTGCAGCCATCCCTTTATCAGTGTGCTGTAGTTTTTTCAAACCTAGCTTGTGTTCACTGAGGGAAGAGTTTCAGCCACTTTCATGCTATCACAAGAACCCCTACAGCCACTGAAATTCAGGCATAGACAAATCCCAAACAGGACCAGAATCAGGTTAATATATACATTTTGGAAAATATTTAAGGACAGGATTCTGAAACTTCCACTTCCATAAATACTGGTACTCCAAACCCAGTGCTTGCCCTTAACCAAGAACACTTGCCCTTCAGGCTGAGGGTAGCCAAACATATCATGTTGCTGTGCCTGCACACAGGGGAAAGCTGCATGAGGGTATTTCAGTCACGGCCTGTATCTCTGCTAAAATTTACTTCTTAAAAGCATTCAGTGTCTATTTACCAAGAGGATGGGAAGTCACCTTGCAGTGCTTTCTTAACTACAGTCATCCTAAATAATTTACTACTTACTTATAATAAAAGTTATTATAAAACTGAAAAAGACAAGGCATTAGATATGACAGCCATAAATATTTTTCTCTGAATTAAGATAAGTTGCCATAAACAGGAAGCAGAGTGCCTTTGTATTACAGAAAATACAGAGCTTTATAATAAACTAGACTGAAACATCTTCATTACTGAACCAGCTTTGTACTGAGACAGCCTTACTCTGAGAGAGCAGTGCAAACATGCCAGTAAATGCCATTTTCTATTCTTAGGGTAAAAAAAGTGTAAATATGTAAACTAGAAAACAAATGTACTGTGTATTTAGTATGTGCTTACATAACCACGTAACCCCTAACCCTGAGCGGATTAGAACTGCACATTAACACTAATATTACAGATCAGCATATTTTTCCTTCCTGATACCAGCTGTACAAGATCGTGGCAGAAGAAATGCCTTTAAATCAGGAGGAAATCTCTGCGTTTCAAACTAGGGCTCTCTCCAGCTTAATTAGATGTGTTTTCAGTGTGAACAGAGTTCTGGTATTTAAACAGCTATAGTACTGACAGTATGCCATCTTAGCAACTGCTTTCCATAAAGATATGTCCTAATACTGCAACATTTTTAAACACTTTACACAGATATTTCGTTACAAGTTACACTGACAAAAGTAATCTCATCCTTTTGGGAAGTACCTGATGTCTACTTCATTTTCTGTGCCTTTAACAGTCAAGCCTCCAAGATTTCCTTTTGCCTCAGCTCTAAGCACCACACAGTTCAATTTTAGCCAAACAAAAAATAACATTTATTCTAGCTCTTTAATCACTCTACTTCTTACCTTTTTTTCTAACTAAGCCTTTCCTTCCATTAGAAGCAAAAGCTGGCTTTCTGTTGTATGCAGGGTAACCTTTGCTTTTAAGGAAAAAAAAAAGACAGAACGCTGTATTCTGACTTACCTTGAAAGGCGAGTGGCATTCACTGACAGCTGTGTGACTTTTCAGTAGCTGCACTCAGACTCCAGCGTTCCAAAGAACCACAATGTCACAAACCCCTAAAGCTCGCAACCAGGAGCAGAGGCAGATTGCTCTCGCACGCCCTTCCTCTTCACCCGGTATCTGACAGCTGTACACTTTTTAGGACTGCAGCAGCACTTGTCTCCCAGCCCCTTTGCCACTCCTGATAAATCATTCCCTCCCTGCTACTAAAAGCATGCTGCTATTATATCTTAAAAGCACGTCACAGCTTGTATGCAGTAGCTGTGGGAAAGCTGCATTTATTTATACAGGAAGCTTGAGTACAGCACTTCCTACTTCCCATCCGAGTCTCAATTCAACTGCAGGTGATTACTTAAGCCCTGTCAGCTTCCAGCCAATGCATACCCTTCGTTCTTATTTGGATATCTGTAATGCTTTTAATCGTAACTGCCACCTGAGCCCTGACATGATAAAACTGAAAGAGACAAGGCATTAGATGCCACACTCACAAAAACCCTCCCAATTGCCATTTAACCTGTTTTAGGATAGCAGTTCGTATAGCTGCTGCTCTGCCTGCAGATGATGTCTGAAACATTGCTGGCTTCTGCTTATCCACGTGTGTGAAAAATGCCATCTAAAAGAACACTGACTTCTTCACATTGGAGGGGAAGGCAGCAAAAAATCTAAACTGACAAGTGAAGCACCGGTGTAATTTCAAATGTGAGTGCTTAATGATGATGGTGCTCACCTTATTCTGCCAATAGGTAGGGCAGGCTTGTGTGCAAGTGGGGCTGGAAATGCTGCAGTTCTGCACCCCAACCCTATGGGTGTGATTCACACTAGCCAAGCAGCCCAAGAAGGTATTGCTGTGCCACGTGACACACCGAGTCCTCAAGAACTTTTCCTGCTGTAGGAAATGTACCGCACCCACAGATAAGAAGTGCAGATACATCGGAGTGCAGGGGCTGCAGAAAAGCAGAGGCAGAAACAAATATAGATGCTAATCTGCAATTTTCTCTCCATGATGAAATAAGTTTACTTTGTGCAATTATGGCTGGCATTTTGCCTTCAGGACTTTTGCAACCTCATGCAACCTTAATTCAGCCTCCTTGCAACTATGCATTACAGCTTTGCTTCAGTTATCATCACATACTCTCTTTCCCCTCAGAATAAGTAAAAACATTATCAATCTATTTGGCATTGGGTATTATATTTAATTTTCTATCTGGAGAGGGAGGGAGTAATCACTAGAAAAAATACAGCCATTCCAACATGTGGAATCATATTGATCCCAAGTGTTCATCAATAGGATTAGGCAACCTAGAGCAGTGTCACAGATACTGCCCCTTGAGCTAGTAGAGCATTTCCCAGTAGTAGCAGACTTTCTTCCATCCTCAGCAGTGACCAATCCCAGACAGTACTCAAGAAACACGTGGGGCTCAGAGATATTTTTTAGCCCTCAGAACAGCAGTGAAAATGTTGAATTCTGTCTCAAACTTGACGATTAGAAAAGCAGTCTCCTTTGGTGGTCAGATTTTTACCCTCCGTCTTCTGTTCTAGTGTGAAATAGCTTAAGCCTCTCTTATGTTTTTTTCACCACCACTCCTCTCCTCTCCCTCCCTCTGTTCCAGTTACTATATTTTCTTCCTGCAGCTGCTACCTTCGCTACTCTGCCTCCATCACACAGGTACTTGGTCGGCCACAGATGAAGCACTGCAAGAAAAATCTTCCTGCTCTCAGCTCCTGTGCTCAACACCACAGCACTTGAACAGCAAAAGGACAACTAACTCAAGGAGAAGAGTGACGAGACAGGAAGGATAGAGGAAATCAAGTCACTCTTGCAGATGTAGGGAAAATGGCAGTGCAGTAGGTCCAGAAGCAGAGCAGGGCAGCTGCCAGTAGCAAAGTAGCAAAAGTAGCATCTGGTTTGGTATCTACTCCTTGCTGGCACAATAAAACAAAAACAAGCCTCACTGCAGTAGCCTCCACCAGTCAAGAGAAACAACTGCAAATAAAGGCTAATCATCTTTCCTTCAGATAAATGATGAGGCTAGCTTGTATCTAGGGGAGCTGTTCTTTTGAATTAAGGAAACTAGATTAGTCCATTAAAATGCAGATAAATTATGGAAACTTCAGCTGCAAACATCACAAGATATTTTTACTCAGTTTTCTACTACGTATCTCTATGCATAGAAGTTATAATGTGAGTGCACAAATGTGGAAAACTGCTTACAGCAAAATATCCCTTAAACATCACAAAATCGGTGAGAAACATTGTGAATGTTTCTCAAGACGTCTAATTTTCTGCAAAATGTTAATATGTGCTCATTCCAAACACTCCACTTCTAGGGTATCAAGCTGCAGTCCCCAGATTTACATGCAGGAGAAGCACTTTCTTATGCTCTGTGGACAGCTGGCTATTCCCCTTCTTCCATCTTCACCTCTGTATTTGCCCCTGCTTCTGTGCTTATCCAGGATCTCTGCAGCAGAGGAGATGAAGGTGATGTGGCACTATGCAAGAGCTCAGGCTATAAGGACTTGAAATGATCAATACTGATGACTTTTTCCACTGCCATTACCAAAGGTGTGAGCTGGACTCTTATGAGCTATTCTGTCAAAACTGATTTCTCTTCCAGCCCAGGTACTGCATAGTTTCACAGAAGCACATCTTCTTGGCAAGCTAATTTTGTGAAGTGTTATGAGTCATGCTAAAATTGCTACCCAGCTCAAATCCCTGAATCTCTTAACCGAGATTGATTGATTTCCTTTTTCAGCCAACAAAGAAATAAAACACAAGTTCACAAAGTCATACAGTGCCAGTCAAGGCACAAGCTAAGCCCTCCCCATTTGCTTTCTTCTTCAGTAACAGTGATACAAAGCACAAAACTGAGAGGGTCCAGTTAAATTTTTGGACACTCTTAACTGATGCTTTATAACTCCAGGGCTGGCAGGACGGAAGAGCCTCTGAGCTGATAGATGCCAAAATACAGTATCAATGTGAATTTTTAGTGGAGCTACTAGCCAGTAGAGGAATAAAGGTTGGCACAGTTAATAACTAACATTGCTCTGTCATCCTTGCAGCTACTTGAAATACTTACAAAATGACTAAGCCAATCTGGCATTACCTAAAATTACTAATTAATTTATGATGTAGGTGGGTAAAAAAGGAATACCATGACCAGTGAAAAGCCCTCTCATATCCCACAGACAGAATACCATTAACAGCAAGTGAAAACACTGAGTTAGTGTATAAATAGCAAGCAGTTTCGCTGTAATTCGACAGAAAGAAGTAGGATTAACTTGTGAGGAAAACCAAGGAAATTTTCACTACCTCAATTTACCATTTTCAACTCATAAAAAGCAAATATCTTGAAAAATAACTGCTACCCATAAGCATAAAATAAAATCAGGTTTTGTAACAAGCTTTCTAAAACCAGAGCCTAAGTAAGAAAATCATGGTTTTATCTACTTTACATGCAAATTATCCATTTTCCTATGGGAAAAAATAGAGTGCATATAGAATCATAGAATAGAATCGTAGAATCACATGTAGAAAGACAGCTTCACAAGAAAAGTAGATACTAATGTGTAACATAACCAATGCTGAAAACAAAACAGGAAGGAGTTTTACACAGTGGATATACATATATTACCTGAAGTTGCAAGCATCATACCCCTGATGTCAGGGCTAAGAATAGTTTTATTTAATGGGAACAATTTTAAAGGGGGATTACACCATCAAAAGTCATTTGTGCTACCTTCATAAATCTAATGTTTTAAAAAAGGAATCTCTATTAATATATGCATTTATATAATCAGGCAACACAAGAAATCAGATGTCAGTGCAAAAAATATAGAGCTATGTAATATTTACATGCAGCAAGCTTTGCTCAAAATAGCTACAAGAAAATCAGGATCACATCTTTTCCTGTTTAAATAACGCTATTGTTCTACAATTCTGACTTGATATGCAAGTCACTCACTGACAAACCAGGCCTGAAATCTTCATTATTCCCTTTAGATAAAACATAGTAAAACTTTATTATAAGATGTTTTGCATTGGAGTGAAATAAATCAAGTTAAATTATTTTGAAAGAATATTAGGTACAAATCCATGAGCTTTTTATTTCACAGTAAAAAAGTGAGTGGGATGGCACACTGTCTACTGAACATTTATAATCGTTATGATCTCAAAACACGTGGATTTGTCTCAGACACAAAGAGAAATGGTAGGTGACTTACACTGATCCTGCTCTACAAAAAGGCAAAATGCAATACTCATTAAAATTTGTTAGCAGACCGTCTCCAAACAAAACATAATCATATGGCTTCCATAAAGCCCTGGTTCTTCTCTATAGATACTTTTTCCTGTGTTTATACTTTGATGCACTTCCTGACATACTGGAAACTAGCTTTTGGCATTTGACCCATATGGAACAGTGCTAGAGGAAAAATCCATACAGCCTCACCAGGAAACAATGAGAAGACGGCCTGCCACCCCAGTGGGTAAGTTTGGGATGCTCAGAAATCTCAGCTTAAAGATCAAGGCTAGTGGCTTTTACTGTACATTACTGGAGTTCCAGTGCAGCTTGCTTTCTTAGAATCTGGAATCAATTTGCCCCCATAGAAAACCCTGCTGGTGGCAGAGATCCTGTTGCCACGCTGTGCAAGCGGTTCCAGCTCCCCAGCTGGACAGCACACAGAGTTTCACCCTGACCAGCACCACCTCATGAAATGCTGGAAAAAAATAAAACCAGCTTGCCTAGTTCTCATGTTCCTGTGTAGCGCATACAGATGTGGAGATGCTTAGGTCTTCTGAGGATCAGGTAACAAGTGAGAATTTCTAGCTGCAAAAAGATTACTTTCTAGGGTACATACATATGAAATAGGTGACAATGAAGATGTTCTCTTCTCCAGCTCTCTTTTAAATTAGACAAACATTTTTAACAAGAGTATAGAAAAATTGTAAAAGAAAAACCTAAAGTTTGGCTAAATGAATTTCTTTTCTATTAACTGTGCTTACAACCAGCTTCAGCATATGGCACAGGCTTTCAATTATGCACAGATTATTTTTTTTCCTGTTTGCCCAAAGTGACACCATCTGTTGACTTTTAACCAGTGTTTTGGTAACGTACCTAGAATTGCAGTGATTCCAGACATCGGAATCACCATCAGTTGAGAAAGTGAGAGGGCAAAACCATCCTGGCAGCCAACACAGGAAGCTTCCTCTGCAGGAGAGGAGGTCACCAACCTGTCTTCATCATGAGGAAAAAATGTGCACACTGTTTTCACTTCTCCATTTCTACTGCTCCTTCTGTCCTGCCCCAAGCTCTTAACAGCCCTTTTCTGGAAATACTAAGAGACAGCTTTATTCCTTCCAGCCCAAGCCAGTCTCTTAAGTCACAGTTTTGCCTTAGCTTCATGAGACTCTACCTAGCTTGTAAGACAGAAGGGGCGGGGGGTTGGGGGGGGAATATATGTTATAAAACACATTTCAGCCCAGACTTTTTTGTTTTAACTATACCTCTGGAGTCACGGATGCACAGATCAGAGATGAGACAGAGCTGCGGCACTGAATTTTATGGCTATAAAAGACAACAATGGGACTTCCAGAGACATGTGACAGGCAGGATCAAGGTGTGGAGCTAAAGCATAACCTCCATTCATCTCTTTTCTT